TGGCTGGATCACAAGTCATCGCGTCTGTTCCACTTGAAATTTTATGCTAATAGTTGAATGTTTCGCAAATGTGTTTTGTATGCTCTGATAGCAAATTTCGTGCTCTATGACTGCAATGGAAATCTGTTTCCCATAGCTGTTTATATTCTGTTGTTTCCAGGAATGTCAGGTCGATGAGAATCAGCAATCCCAACTTCTTCTCCCTACCTCTTTCCACGGAAGCTTCAAAGCCCCTGGAGCAGCTCAATAGATCCGCCAGGGTTTTAGTAAAGCATAGAGTAACAGGTTAATATTAGGACGGTTTACAATTGATTTTGAAGAAAGGAAACCGAAAACGCTGACCTCACAGACATCCGGTCGACCCATACCTCACGATTTTTTTTGTTTTCCTACTAAAATTTCGAACACAATATTTATAACACTATAAAAAATATAGATGTTCACAATAAACTAGTCAGTGTCATATTCTCCATTGTTTCTTACGAACTCCTCCCACCAATCAGCCAGCTTTTTATTGCCTTCTCGGTGATTGGCTGAGCTGGCTGATCGGTGGGAGGAGTCTGTGTTGTAAAGATTGTGAAATTTAATCAGGAAAACAAAAAAAAATCGTAAGGTATGGGTCGACCGGGTGTCTGTAAGGTAAACGTTGTCGGTTTTGCTTTTCTTAAAATCAGTTGGGAGCGTCCTCATATTAATCAGTTATGTTGTATAGAGGAATGATTTCTGATAGTGTGATACTGCGCACCTCTTTTGAGAGCGTATTTAAGAGAGGTGAGCGGTAGGGTTGAGTTAGTTTTGTGTGTGGTTTACTCGCCAGATAAACCTACTGTGCGCATCGTCTATTTTGACACTTCCAGAGACAACACAGAAGTCAGGGATCTAACAAGTTACTCAATGCTTCACTGCTCCAGGGGCTTTGAAGCTTCCGTGGAAAGAGGTAGGGAGAAGGAGTTGGGAATGCTGATTCTCATCGACTTGACACTCCGTATTAATAACCTGAAAACAACAGAATATAAACAGCCATGGGAAACAGATTTCCATTGCAGTGTTATAGAGCACGAAATTTGCTATTAGAGCATACAAAACAATTAGCAAAACATTCAACTATTAGCATAAAATTTCAAATGGACAGACGCGATGACTTGTGATCTAGCCCATTATCTGTGAGGTGAAGGTTGCCAACTTGAAATTAGTTCTGAAGCCTCCTATAAGGAATCCCTCGCTGGCACTTCCAGCTCAATCTATTGCAAATGTATGGAGCAGCTTAAGCGATTCTAGCACTACGAATGGACCTAAATAGAGGCGTCGAAGGTACTAATTTTCGCCGACTCAACTTTAAACTTCAACGAGTAAAAAACTTACAAAGATCATTTCCTCACCCGAAGCTGTTTTGACATTCTTATATTACGAGAAGTTTCCTATCAAATGATATCAAAATTGCTCGCAAAAGGTTTCATTTTTTGAACAAAATTTCCAGTTGAAAAAAACGTCATTACTTGTGAGCCAACCCAATACTTTGTCAACAAGCTGCTCCAGCGCTAATTGGGCCGGGATCGTGAAGCGGCGCCTGCAACTTATCTAATCCTCCTCGTCAGAGCCAACAGATGGAGCCAAAGAGAAGAAGGCGTTTGTACCGCGAAGGTCGCACTGACATCTCTATTTCACGCATCACGATGCTCTACCTTGGTCTCATACACACACTATGTTTACCTAGTACTATCGGATATGTGATAAACAACCTATAAGAAGGAAGTACCCCAACTTTTCGTATTCCCTTTTCTCCAAAAAAAAAGACATTCACGTGTATAAGCGTTTAACATAGAAATTTATGCTACTTTCAAACCTATACATTCCTTCGGATTCAGGCGATTGTTGTATCTCTGCTGTCGCCCTTATCAGAGTGCAGCAGCAGGCGTGGCTACGTATTCAGTGCCAACTCTCCTCTCTTATGCAAACGCCTCTGTCACTCCTTTTATACCAGTGTTACCCCGCCCGTACCCCGCCTCTTGCTGTTTTCAGATAAAAACTCTATTTCGGCGCTGCAACCGTATCCGGTTTTGTGCTTTTACGGCTGACTGCCACAAGACTTTGATAGCTAAAAGTGGTCCTAGCAGCAGGACTGCACTGGCACCCATCTTGCCAAGATAAACGACGGCATACAGCATCTCGAAAGAAGAATAACAAAAAGAACAAGTAATTCACTTTGACTTTTGAAGCGGTGAAGTGAAAAGAGGCGCGCTTAGCACTCGCGCGGTCCTAGGTTCAAATCCCGGGTTGACTCCCGCCCAGGCCACCAAGTCATTAGTAAAGCCCACATAGCATTGAATAAGCCACTACGATTCTGAGTGGAAGAAGAATGCGTACCACATCCTAGTAAAGGACTGATCAACCGAAGGATTTATTCTTAACCTTTATTTGCAATGTTCAGAGCCTACTGGGTTGATAAGTAACGCTGCTCCTCTCCTAGATGACACCTTGCGGGTCTTTCAGTTAAATCATACACTTTGTCTCACCATTGGAAGTCCGACTTCAAATGTTGCACCATCGGAAATCGCGAAGATTCGAGGTGAAGTGACAGAAGACGTCAAGTCCTTAATATATAATTATAATAGTCTATATCCAAAAAAGTACTGAATGTATTCTCATAGTATGCACCTTCTTGAAGACAATGTGGTTGAGTAAAACTTGAGCTGCTGCGAGCACTGAATTCAGTGATCCTGTTATTCCAATAGATGCAGTCAGCTGAATGAATAAGATATGAATGACCTTGAAGGTCTACATGGTTTGCTTTTGCAACGATCTCGTAAGGCAGCGTTCAGAATTGGCAATGATGCGCGTCAGTGCGCTATAACTGCAACAGCTCGGAAAATAGATGCAGAAGCGCCCGAGGAGAACCCTAGAGGGAAAGTGATCGATGCCGGCCGCTTGTGTATCGAGAAAGGGGGAGAAGGCGTGTACGAGTTGGCTCTGGTATCGACTCACTGGCGCTTTCGGAGGGTATGAAAGAATGGGAGTGAACCACATTGTGTGGAGGCAACACCTGCAATCCTGGTTAATCTATAGCAGCCGGCGCCGATTAATTTCCTTCTGCGGCTGCATATTTAGGGTTGGACCGCTGTTGCAGCGCGTCGACGTGCGTCATCGCAAAGACTGGGCGCTGCCTTACATGCTTCTCAGTAGGTGTTTAACTTTCTGCCAATGAAGCAGACTGCTTCGATGGGTCGAATTCAGCTATTGCAAAGTAGGCTTCTCATCCGTTTTTTTTTACTAACTTCGGACCAGAATACAGCAGGAAGGAAAAAATTGTGTGGATGGACAACAATTCCCTGATCAATGTCTTGCAGGACCCCTCTAGCTTCTACTTTAGATCTGAACATATACAGGGAGTGGGGCCAAAAAAAAGTCATTTTGCCTCCATCACTTTCAAGGCGCTATAAGTTACACTTCATTAAATTATTACCGGACATTCTTACTACCATATTAAAGAGCACATTAAATACTATAAAGATACTCTCCCACAGCCTTCTGGAGGAGCGCCATCGAGAGATTCGGCCGCGCGAAAGTGAGTGGGTACCGGAGTTGAGCGAAATCGTTGCTTTCTCCGCCGCTGTAGACCACCCTGTTGAGCTCCGCCCGGACCCGAGTAATTGAGGGGGTTTAGTTCAGGACCCCGCTTAAATACTCCATCTTTTACAGGTACTCAACATTCTTCCATTCCAAGTAGACGAAAGTTTTTTCCATGCCCTTTCGATTAAATGTGTTGTCACCCAATCCTGTAGCAGTACAAAGTTTCCAAGAACGGTACGCGGCGACGACATGAAGATGGATATTCTCCTCGAGTTGCTCGATGTAGCCACCAGCGCACACCTCAGTCTGGGGCCCACGAAGAAAATATCGGTTTCATCCATTCCAGGTACGACCGCGTCCACACCATCAACCCGCGCCTTGGTGAATGGTGAGAAGAGATGTCCTGGACCGTTTAGCGACGTTTGCCGGAGCTGCTCGATGTTTGAGGTCTTGCAGATCAAGAGTACTGGTCTCCAGGTAGCTATCCATGTGTGATTCCAATCAAGAAGTTCCGCAGCTGTTTGGAGGGCACGTGAATTCCAAAGACGTTCTCCACTCAGGCCGCGACCGGAGATGACTTCATATTTTGGTGTACATGAAGGTGAATGGCGGCAGCCGGCTCCTGCTTATAGAGGAAGATCTTGAGTATCTTCCGCCCTGGTAATCATATCCACTTCCTCTGTCTGGGCTGCGAAAACTTCGCTCATATGTGACTCGGCCGGAATGACTTTTTTTTGGCCCCTGTATGCTAGTGTGCGACGACAGTGTTTCTCCCCTTTGAGAGACAGCCACCAATAATAGGATTCGAAGAAACTGAAGGCTCAGTCGGAATTCAGTCCTCCATAGGGACCCTGGACTGTGCGCATGGCAAGCACCTTAGGCTGCGTGTATACTTTGCGGCAGCGTAGCAAGCGCTTCCAGCGTACGCCAGCGGCACTGCCGTGAAGAGGATGGAGATCGATCTAGCGTTCTTAGCGTCATCAGCGTTTCACCAGCGTTTTGCTGGCGTTTGCAGCGGCAGGGGAGTAGAGACTATGTGGCCGTAAGAGACGCGCAATCGATGTGTATTGTAGAGACTATGGAAGAGCTGGAGGGTACAAAACACATCGATTGCGCGTCCCTCACTCGCCCTCAGTCTCCACTATCACATCGATTGCGCGTCTCTGACTGCCACATAGTCTCTACAATACACATCGATTGAGCGTCTCTTACGGCCACATAGTCTCTACTCCCCGCCGCTGCAAACGCCAGCAAAACGCTGGCGAAACGCTGGTGACGCTGGGAACGCTAGATCGATATCCATCCTCTCCACGGCACTGCCGCTGGCGTACGCTGGAAGCGCTACGCTACGCTGCTGCAAAGTATAAACGCAGTCTTATGAAGCCTCATAGCGCAGGACAAATCGTGTCGTAAGAGAAGTCGCCAGCATTCAGCTATCTACAGCAGTGGATCTTCCCTGAAATTCGAAGTATTACCTGGCCGCTTTGATCGAAGACCATCAATGGTGCCATTGAACTGCGGGGTCGTTTTCTACCTTCCACTGCATTCACGTGAATGTCCTCACTTTTCTCTTTATCAGGTATTGTGAATGACGATATTTCGTTGTTCCATACGAATCCACCTTTCACAGAGCGCCTCACGGAACCAAACCTGAATTGAAACTCACTTACATTGGGTACTCAAAGCAGTACAGTGCAATCTCCTTTTATATCACCTCAAATCATCTACGCATGGCTTCGCCACAGCGAAAGTTGTTACGGTGAGACCTGGCGGGAAACGGATGGAGACTACTTATAAAGTTATTAGAACGAAGCTTGCTCTTCTGAACAACTCTGCAGGGCAGCGATGGACAGGGCCATCAGCCGTGGGGCTGAAATCTGAACCCCATCGTAAACTTCCTTCAAATCCCTGGGAGCAGATAGAAACCCATGTTCTTGACGTATGTCCCACCTAAATTTTCTGCATCGGAATGTTTTTCTGAGGATTTGTCGACTAGATAGACGATAGAAACAGCATACAATGTCAACGTGCTAAGCAGGTGAGAAAAGTTCATGTAGCTGGCTGCCTTCGAAACGGGAAGACTGTAAGACACCAAAGGAACTGACGGTTTGGGTATGCAAGAGTAACATTTCGAATCACATCCAAGTAAGTTGAGAAAACTTTTTGAAGCAGTTATATTGGACTGATCGCTTTCCTCTGGTATTAGGTAGCCGTAACCAAGATGATATAACAGTTTTATTTAGGTTACGTTTCGGCCTTATCGCCTTCGTCAGAGCCCTGGATGTACGGCAGTTTTTGCTTGAGACCACCGCTAAACGGTGAGTTTGTGACCGTGTGGGTTCTGAAACAGCGTGGTCTCTTTCCCCCTCCCCCATGGTTTCGTCGGCTCCCTTTCCATTATACGTGCTGCTTCAATGCACGAAATAAACTGCAAAAAGGGCTTCACATAGATAGCTTTAACAACATCGCTCCCCCTCACTGAAAGATAACTGAACCTACAACGTTACATTCGAATCCAGTCGTCTCTACTATAACCTTTATAGCTTTACACATATGTTACCCCACAAGTTCAGATTGCTTACAGAAATAACAGAATGATTGTGGTGAGGCCTTTAGGGTAAGGATTCCGATGAAACCTTTCATCATGAAAAATGTATTCTATTGTTTCCCTTCGTGAACTGCGGCTAACCTTTCATTAAGGGAAGAGCTGAGCGCCACTGTGAGATTTCGTCCATCTACAACATTGATGTGGGAACCAACAGAGCTTTGATCTTTCTGAACTATTCTTTTCATTACGGATGGATGTAATGACAGTATCCTTGAACTTCGTGAATACTTAACTCATTTCCTGACGAATTACTAACTTAGTACAGCTTACTGGTAGCTGTAATGGACATGTGGCTGGGGAGTTGCTGCGAACGTCATTGGTGGAAGTGTGCGAGAAGGCGTTAGGCCACACCCCATCAGCTTTCCACCAACGACGTTGATAGCAACCGCCCGCCCCCGCCATCGTGCAAACTGCCTTTAAGTTTCTCACGCGAAACAGTTCTGAAACAAACCAAATTCCACATCAGGTTTCTGATGTCTATGCTCCTTCCCTCATCTGAAGTGTCGCCGGTACTGTTCTGCGCTGTTCGCAGGGTTCTAGTAGTTGGATCGCTCAGCATATAATCGAGATCACCTACAAAGCCACCACATAGAAAAATATCAATTTGTTTAACACTTGGTTTACGTCTGAGAGCACCGTACGGAACGTTCAATGAAAATGAAGCACTAATGAGTTCGAGAGAGGCCCACCAACTCAATTTAGCAGCATTTCAGGAGAAATACAACCCGAATGAAATAGCATAATGAAAAGCACCTATTTGTTCGAGTCTTGCCAAGGCAGCATGTTCAGCCTTCAGAAGATCTCTGATGTAAGAAACATCCACTGATACGTTTGACCGAGTACTGTATCGACCTTGAAAGAAGTTTTTCTTTAGTGTGTATTTTTAGTTATTACAAGGAAGTACCCACTCATCATGAGCTCTACGAGAAGACCCAAAGCAGTGAAGGCAGATGGAGGGTGGGGTCCTTTTAGGCTGAATCCATTAGACAGCTTGACTTCCAGCGGCTTTTCGATCTTGCTTTCGAAACTGGCCAAGTCTGTTTTCGTGAGTAAACCACCTCAAATAAGTAGAACAAGATTACTGGGAATTATGGAAAAATGGGGATTATCGAGCTGTAGGAATGAAAGGGTTGGAGCATGTAGTTTCTCAAAGGCACGTTCAACGGCTACCTAATTATGGGTACTACCGCTCCTACCACGGGATTTTTAGCCGTGGATATGGCACAATTTGGGGCCGATAGGGTCAAACACTTATGCAAGAGGCCATTGTTCCTCGGCAAATTTCGCTATGCCGTTGAAACATTTGTAAATAGCTGGTTGGAAACAGTAACAGATGCGCTAGGTGACCTGCACAAGCTGACAGTTAACCCTCCTCTTTCCAAGCGAGAGGTGGAAATTGGGGATTCAGGGAGAGGGGCTAGCCAAGAACAGCCAGAAAGTATGCAAAGGAATGAGCTGGCAGATAGGACTGATCAAGGCGGCAGGGGGCTCAGTCATCTGAGCAACATGGATCTGGAGCGAAACTTGTGCAAAATTTTCCAGGGTGCCTCACTATCTTGCCCCAGGAAAGTTTCAATTCTCATAAGTCATCACGAAATGCACCTGCAAGTGAGGAACAATGCAGGGAAGTCGAACAATAGCCCTTTCATAATGTCGAGTGCATTTGTCAAATACCAAGAAATGCTCGGCAGACATAGTGAGAAGGTCTAAGGTTACAGTCCCAGATATTGCAACAAACAACCGAGCTCAAGTGGAAAATTGCATTGTTAAACCAGAATTCAACTAAGTACACAAAGAAATGACATGCAAACTCTTTTGCAAATATGGCATCCAACAAGGAAACAGAAAGCCAGAAGCGAAGAGGTGCGCCACAAGACAGTTGGCAGACGGCAATGCTCTGAATTGGGAACCTACAGGGGGGAGCTAAAAAAAGACATTTCGACCGAGTCACATATCAGTAAAGTTTTCGCAACCCAGACAGAGGACGTGGATACGAGTACCAGGGCGGAAGATACCCAAGGTGTTCCTCGATAAGCAGGAGCTGGCTCTCGCCCATCAGCTTCATGTACACCAAAATATGAAGTCATCTCCAGTCGCAGCCTGACTGGAGAAGACCTTTGAAATCATGTCACCTCCAAACAGCTGCGAAAACTTTAGTATGGAGTCATCCATGGATAGCTTCCTGGAGACCAGTACTCTCGATCTGGAAGATCTCCATCATCGAGCAGCTCCGACAATGTCGCTACGGTCTAGGACATCATCTTCACCACAGTTGCCAAGGCGCCAGTTGATAGGGTGGACCGGGCGTACCTGGAATGGAGAGACCGATATTTTCTTCGTGGATCCCGGACTGAAGGTGAGCGCTAGCGGTTACATTGAGCAACTCGAGAGGAATATCCAAATGTCGTCGCCCTTACTTTCTTGGAACTTTTCACTGCTACAGGATTGGGTAACACCAAATGGAATCAAACGGCGTTGGGAAAACTCTTGCCTACTTGGAATGGAAGAACGTTGAGTACCCGAAAAAGATATCCAAGTAGGTCACCTGATCTGAATCCCCTCAATTATCCTGTTCGGGCGGAGTTCACTAGGGTGGTCTACGGTGGCGGAGAAATCGACTATCTCGCTGAACCCAGGCACCCACTCAAGGTCGCGTGGCAGAATCTATCGACGGGGCTCGTCCAGAAGGCAGTGGCAGTATCGTGATACTATTTAATATGCTCTTTGATATGGTGATAGAAATGTCCGATAAGAATTTAAAAAAAGTGTAGTTTATAACGCCTCGAAAGTCAAGGAAGAAAAAAGCTTTTTTTGACCCCGCTGTAGATGACCTACCAGCCTTCAACCAAAATCCTTGCAGCAGGGGAGTGGGGGGGAGGGGTGGCAGGCGGCACATGGAGCATGAGGCTGGCACATGAGTAAAAAAGGAAAACCGAACCCGAAACATTGAACGGGTTTTCCTCAAAAACTGCGAAAGCCGAATTTTTTCTCTAACCTACCACGTTGTTTCATTTCGTGAACGATTTGGTTAGCAATGTCGCCTCTGTAGAAGAGTTCAACTGGATCTCTGGCGATAGCAAGGCGACGAAGGAACGCAGCGTGAATCGGATTGCGATGTATCTGGCCTTCACCGAGGGATACATTATAGGCTGTGCTGAAATAAGATTACAAAACTGATAAAGAACGAGAAGGATGGTTGCTGTTTCACGCCATGAAGCGTAACGCATTCGTTGGCTATCCAGAATTGTCATTTGAATAAGTTTCTTACTTCACTTCGATTTAACTCTTTTAGTGGAACTAGAGCACCAAACAACAGAAACCTGGTAAACAAGGAATGCCTGGCTGCCTTGAAGCAGATCTCTAACGCTCGCAGTAAGTGAACCATAAATAACGAATAAAACGCCAATACGCGATTCTAGAGTGGCGATGCCGCGAAAAGACACATCGAGGAACTAGAGAGGTGACGTCATGGGGGGAAGAGTGTGGCTGCGAAGGAGCCCATCAAGGGACTAGAGTGGTGGTGGTATGAGGAATGGTAGTCGGATTCAAGCACCGCGCTGAGGAAACTTAGTCGTCGGTACAACCCTCTCCTAAAGAAAGGGGTGACAAACATCCCTGTTGCATCTGCTAAATGTGAAAGAGTAATAGCAAATCATTCCTTAAAGGGTGGGGATACCACGGCTTTCCCTTCAGCTGCATCGCACGCGGGAACTAAACTATAGCAAAACAAAAACGAAAAAACTATGATTAGCGTTAGAAAACACCTTTATTAAAGGAGAACTCAAATTAATAGGCGAACTACCATCAATTTTCAGTCCATCTGCTGATCGTCTTCTCGATTCTGCTTACTCGAATTACGGCGATGACGATGGGAAAAGCGATATCAGTTTCGAATTGACACCAACTATCAACTTTTCTTCTTTTCTTAGTGGTGCATAAGAGCCATGAATACATGGTGGTTTGAAATTGCTAACAGGGGCTATTGAGTAAGCTGGGTGACATCATAGACCGCAGTCGAGATCCATTAAGTCTTTTGTATGCTTTTTCGCCACTTGGCACTTCACCCATGGTGTAGTTTATAATTCACCAGCTTGGCTGACGCGCACTACTGCGCGCATGGTTGAATCTATGGTAATGGTACTAATCGCTGATGGGATTCCTGTGCTGACCCCGAACACTGGGCCCGAGCGCCATTTTTTGAAATACGGCCCATTTCATTATGTTTCTCCTGTTCAATGAACATTTGCTAATGTCTGGTGCTTATCACATTTCTAAAGAGCACTCACCATTTGTTGGAAATAGGACAACTTAGCAGTTGAAAGGATTCCGATGGTAATAACATGGACACCATAGTGATATATTCTCACATCCTAGTACTTTCGTTGAGCAGCTTCCAAAGCTTTTAATTTTTGTCGACTCTCGAGTGTTTAGCGGTCGAATCAGTCATAACCCTATCTAAGGGATGGAATAAGTTGACTCATAAGCCTCTGCCCATTGTTTGTGAGCACCGGTGCTCAAGTTCAGGCTGAGCAGTAAGGATGCGAACAGGTGCTTGTGCTTATCAGCCATTTTCTCACATTATATACAACTTATAACCCTTCAAGAATGCTCTGTAACCCCTTCTGAATGACTTGCCGCAAGCAGTTTCCCCCGTGCTGCTATCTGTTATCACTTCCTGCCACCCACCAATAATGTTTCCATACTGCCCCCTATCATAGTGCTTGGATCTAACGTCCGGTCTTTGCTCTGGCCGGTGTTATGAATTAGATAACTCACTCCTTGTAAGGCTCCTCGTGGTGTCTTATCGGCTGTTTCACCTTTCTACCACCCACCAATAATGTTCCCACCCTGCCCCCTATCTTAATGCTTGGGTCCAACGCCCGGTCGGTGCTCTGGCCGGTGTTATGAATCAGGTAAGCCACCCATTCTAAGGACCCTTATGGTATTTATCAACTGTTATCACTTCCTGCCACCCACAACCTGTTCCTGCCCGACCCCCTACATCACTTATAAGTTTGAGCGCTTTATCGCTATTTTGAAGAAAGTTATAAATTTCCGGTCAAACACACACAAAAACATACACACACACACACACACTCACACCAACAGACAAACTTAGCGGATTATATATAGTAGGATATTTACCTAGCGTAGATCGTAGAAAGGATCAATCCTTGTCACTGTTACCAATATCTAGTGGCATTCTTTGATATCATCGATCCCTGATATAACGGATATACAGTAATCCTCGAATGAGACGGCTTGTAAAGGCGTGGTTTGAAGGGCAGCTACGGCAGCCTTTCCCATTCTCGGACATGCTTTCTTCGTCATACGCAGGCGGTCACTTCTTCAGGGTGGAAAGTATAAGGCGCTTTTATGCCAGCTTTACCCATGGCATGGTTCACTCGCAAAATCTTCTCCGACAGCCGATATAGTGGATATGCTGCCAAATAAATACCGCCTAGAGTTGGGCTGTGGTATTGCGCTGGGCTGTACCAATAGATGAGCAGTTGCTCATGCTCCAGAGGAGGCAACACACTTGGTTCAACGGTCGCTATCCTCACTGCCCACGGTAAACAAGCCACTTTTTTGAAAGGTTTCACTACCAATGAACTAGTTCCAAAAAAGTAACCAGAAGTATAGACACTGACTTCATGCTTCTTTCCGATAAAATTTCATTGAATCGACTCTTGAAAGCATCAGCGAAATCATCACTTGCTGGAGTACCTGAAACAGTCATAGTACTCAACAAAAACTCTCAGAGCCCTGGAACTCTCGAATGGACCTCTTTCCAGTAAGTGTACCGATGGTATTAGTAAGTCCTGCCATGCCACTCGACCGGAACCGTATCGCTTGAACGCCGTCCAGATGCCATGTAAAAAACCCGGAGTGGCGATTGAAGAATATCCTGCGAAGGAAGGCCTTTTTATCAGTTCGAATCCGGTACTCTTGAATTCTTATCGTATTTCGAGGTAAAAAACGAACCGATTTCGGCTAGAGCAGGATTGACAAGAAACGTTTCTTCGGTGACACTTCGGGGAGCTGACGAATACGCACTAACCACAATGGTTTCGTTCCTGTTCCTGAATGAAGCAACACTCCACATGTTCTTTTCCATTAAAGCTGCGATCACACATTCCATATCTTACAGCTGGAGTGGGTACGGCTGTGGGCGGAGTGAACGGCGCGGCAGGTGCTCTCTTGAGACATTGCCAATTCGGTACCATCGTGACCAATTTTTAGTCCACCCGTGTGATCGTTGTTTTGAACGGAAATTTCCTACGAAAAATTTGTCCTACGCCACGTTCAAATGAAGTGCGCAGCCACGCCCGTTCAACCTCTGAAACATGGAGTACGATACAACCACTGCGCTGTAACAGACATTTTCGACGTCGGTTGCGGTCGCTATTTGGAGCGCAGTCGCCGAAAACGTCGATTATGACGGCGTGACTGTAGGGTACAAACACAGCCTTAGAAGAAGAACCCTAGAAAAATTATAATCTATTTCGAAAGAAGAGCTATATTTCTTACACACTCTGGCTCGCATTTATTCAATCTGTTATTTCGACTCTTATGTTGAAGTAAGAAGGTTTTATCCCCCATCATTACACACCGTCAACATGTTCGCATTCTTATCTTCATATTGCGTGGGATCGACAGCATGTCTGTAAGCTCATTGCTTATGCCGCAATCACTATAGTGCTCCCAGTCTGCTTGTCTCACACGACGGGTATTTTCCAGGTTAACGCAGAGGCGTATAGTCATGATCCCTACAAAGGGCGTGGGACGGGAGCGTGACTTGAGAGCACCCAAGGCAGAGTTCTCACCAACTGTAGCGGACTCAGAATAGCACCATTGTTGGAACAGCCCTGGCTGCGCTTCAATACGCGCTGTCTCGCACGCCCTGCCTTTTGTATGGATTCTTCTTCTTCTTCAGCGTTTGTCCCACTTCGTAGCGGGGTCCGCTCTCCTGATTTTGTTACGCCATTTATTCCGACCGAATGCCTGATCAGGGTGAGCACCAACTATCTTAAATCCGCGTGCAGCTTGTCAAGCCAACGTTGCCTGGGGCGTCCTTCCGGTCGTTTGTCGAGCACCTCGAGCTGTAGACCAGTTTTGCAGACGGTGTCCGCCTTCGCGCGAAGTACGTGGCCATACCATCGGAGATGAGATTCTCGCATTTTATCAACTATGGAAGCTACGCCAAAATTCTTGCGTATGTCATTGTTGCAAATCCAATCCATGCGGGTGACACCTGTCGTCCAACGTAGCACTTTCATCTCCATCACACTTAAGCGGTCTTCGACTTCTTTGATTGCAGGCCAACGCTCAGCTCCGTACAACGCTACTGGTCTGACCACAGTGCTATAAATCTCCGATTTGAGGTGCTCCGGTATGGTCTTGTCACGCAGAACACCAGTCATCGAGCGCCTTCGCCCATGCTGCACTCAAATGAGAGTTCACCCCTGAGGTCAGACTGCCATCGGACACAATTTCTGATCCAAGATACTTGAGGGCTCTTGTGCGCGTGAGCTCGATGCCACTGATCCTAATGGAATCAGACTCATTTGTATTAGTCGTCAAGTATTCGGTTTTCTTAATGTTCAACTTCAGTCCGAATTTCGTCAAGCCATCAGACGAAGCTTGCACCTGCTGCTCGAGTTCGTTCTTATCTTCACCGGCCAGCACCACATCATCTGCGTAGAGGAGCGTTTAAGGACTCGGTTTCTGGAAATCTCGAGAGATTGCATCCAAGACGATTATAAAAAGAAGTGGAGAGAGCGCAGCCTTGATGGGAAAGTCCTGCAAAGTGCCTGGTGGTGCTTGCACGCGGCTCTTTCGGCTGGAGTGCAGGATGCGCACCCACTCAATAAACTCTTCCGGAACGCCGTGTTGCCGCAAGGCGTACCATATAACTTCACGCGGAACACGGTCGAATGCCTTTTCTAGGCCCAGAAAAGCTAGATGCAGTGGTGTATACTTGCTTCTCACGATGTCTCTCCAAAAGAAGCGCGGCATGTATGGCGTCGATGGTGCTACAGCCTGCCACAAAGCCGCACTGATTGATAGAAAGCTCGACGATTTCGCGGATACGACTGTCAACAATACGCTCAGAAATCTTCATACTGTGTGACAGCAGGCGAATTGAACGGTAATTCGAGCAGGCCGCAGGGCTGCCCTTCTTCTTAATCGGAATCGACGTGCTCTCTTGCCGGTCCTTGGGTGTCTTCTTCTCAGCAACGACCTGATTGAAGAAATCCGTCAGCCATTGTGCAGGGTACCACCTTAACTACCTACGCCTTCCACAAGTCGGCTGCCACGTCTTCAGGTCCTGTTGCTTTGCCTGACTTCATCTCTCTGAGAGCCGCCTTCGTCTCTTCTACGGTTACCTTCTGAACGGGACCGTGTACAGGGGAAACGAAAGGGATGGCCGGGTGCGCGTACTGAAATATACTCAAAGAAGTCGTGCCATCGCTTCAGCACTCTCTTCCGGTCCATCAAAAGGCGACCATGCTCGTCGTTAATGCCAGGAGATTTCTCGATATCTTCGGTCACGATGCCGAACCTTGGAAAGTCGGTAGAGGTGCCGCTCACACCACGTGAATCGAGCTCCTTACTGACATTTTCGAAGTGGGCGGCCTTCGCTGCAGCCACAGCCATCTTCGCTACATTCTTCGCTTCTTTGTACTTACGCCAGCTTCTAGCTGACTTGTCGACAAGAAACGCGTGCTAGCTCCTCTTCTTCTCCCGAACCGTTCCTTTGATATCGTCGGTCTATAACCACGGCTGCTTATCAATTCTTCGCCTTCCCGTCTGCGTGACGCCAAGTTCGGAACGAGCGGCCTCCTGTATCTCCTTTGAAGCACTTTTCCAGGTCTCATCGACAGTCGTGACGGTGGGAAGTCGTATACGAGAGATCACAGCTGCCTCCTTTTTTTTCAAGCGCCACCATTTGGTCCTCTCGGAACCAAATTGCTCGACCCGTTTGGACCGGAGCTTTGCGATCTTTAGCGTGCAGATTAGTGGGCGATATTGTGTGGCAACTATCTCGTATGGCACCGTCTCACGTCTGCGTTCTGGCACTCCCACTGTAGAAGCTGATAAGGTGGGAGTCTCGTTTGCGAACTTCGTATTCACGATGACCAGGTTATGGGCCTTTGCATAGTCGAGAACACTTTCATCATCGGCCTTACGTGACCCATAACCGAAACCACAACTGACAACTGTAGCCGTCTTTCGTAGCGCCTATGTGCCCATTTAAGTCACCAGCAACAATTACGACGTCTTCTGACGGTATCTCAGCTGTCTTCCTCTTAGCAGGGACCAGAACACGTCCTTGGATCGCTCAGAACATCCCGTCTCTGAAGCATAGGCAAAAGAAATGGTGCAGGCGCTGTTCGATAGCAATAACGATCTTCATCAGGCCGTCATCGAAGCGTTCTACGCTGGCTATCGAGTCCCGGAAACGTTGAGAGGCTATTACAACCACTTCGTTGGTGATTTTTGGTTTGCCACACAAAAATGCTTTATAGCCTCGACCGATGTCCCTTGACTTGCAACTGGACTATCTTGCTTCCTGCACAGCACACAGATCTATACGTCTGCGCTCCAGTGCCTCTGCCAGCTCACCTGAGCACCCCGTCAGCGTTCCAATATTCAACGTTGCTACGAGGACCTTCTCCTCTGTCCTTCTTCCGTCTTTCATATGGATTATGACTGTAAAAGTACAGCCGACATACAGTCCTCATCATTGCGGACCGGTGGGGCGTGGCAGCGCGGCTGCGTTTGATGCGGTTTGGCAAAGTCGTTCCGCACCAATTTCTGAAGCGGGCAAGTGCATTACTGTATAATATCCTTCGCATTACTCGTTTTCTACCACTTTTTGTTGCATACGCGTTGCAACAGAAAAGGCTGAGAACGGCTTCAACAGTGTGCGCACTCCTTCTGGCTGAGACGCCCCACCGGTTCGCAATGATGAGGACTGTACCTACAAGTTTCCTAATATTGAATTAATAAGGTGAAGTTGCGAAAGTTGACCCTGTGCACGTGCAGTGCCTGTCGAGTCTCCTTTCCTGCATGATTCCGCTTGAGTGCCACCTCTCTGAGTTCGAGACATTTCTCAAAACGAAAGCTGAGGGCAGGAACACAAGCGCCAACGCGTCGACGATCCTACCAGTCTTTTGCTGCTGCGTATCGGGCTATACTGCAAGGGAAAAAAATCGTATCTGTTGGGCTGGCCCATGAGCAATAGCGTTTCTTCTCACTGAAAAATTTTGGTGAAGACAGGGTGATCCCCCAATTCGTTCCACAAAATTTGCTAGAAAGCTCCCTACTCTATGAAAAGGTACATTCGTTTCTTTTTGAAAAATCCTACCCAGTCAGTTATTTAACATCAAAGCGCTCAAAGGGGGTGTTAGATCGACGTATCCAAGAATTTCCCACATCCGTACTCCTTGCCGTTGAACAGGAGGCTCGAAGGCCATTTTTTCAGTGCATGCCCAAAAAAACTGTCTTTCAGAAAGGCACACGAAGGTTTAGGCGACTCAAAGCACTATCGGTCAAACCTGTGTAGAAGCTAGGAGCAGAGCGCTTGCAAAAATGCGTGAACGAGAGTGGAAGAATTTCTTTCAAAGCACAAAGGAGAAGTGATCATGTCATTCATAATCCTTACAAAGCAAACATTATCGGCGAAGAGACATTCTATTGAGGGCCCAAAACAGATTTCTTATAATAATCGAAAATGGTCCTGATGTTTTTCGTACTGCGATTCCGCTTATGGAGGCAATGGGATTTCCGCCAATGTAATAATACCTGCTTCAAAGTTGATGCCGTACTGTCTCTTAAGTTTATGTTTGCCAAGTGCCGTGGTAACAACTGCGTCACCTCTAACGGCCTAAAAGTTCCTCACACCATTTGTGGGAGATGAGGAGGCAGCGTGATTCGTTTGAAAATATCTTGGGATGCGCTCCTAGGACGATTTTCTCTAGGAGACAGCACGTATGTAGAACCATGTTCAAATGAACCCTGCGAGACTAGCGTTAGAATTAGGGAGAGGAAGAACTGTGCTGCATTCGATCAGGCTATGAAGGCATGTAATGCACATGAGGGCGACCTCTTACTTATCATTCGACTGGGACTGCGCACACTCTTGTTACCAAATGCTGCACTGACAATGAGCTATGAAGGTACATATGCACCACGCCCAACTGGAACCTACTCTCTGCTAGCTGGGAGTGTGATGTAGAGCTCAGTGAGTATCGTTCCGCTTCCCGGGTGCATAGGAACCCGGTCGGGAGCCTCTATTACAGGTGGTTAGAATATCGGTCTGTACAGGCTGAAACATTGCCGAAAATCATTGTTAGCATGAGCAAAAACGTCCATGGTCGACATTTCGGTGATTGAAGGAAAGTATTTTGACGAGAGACCGACGGGATCACGCAGATGCTGGGTTGGCAGTGAGGGGTGAGAGAGAGCGGTGTATCAGCGCTTTCATGTGAGCGCTTGCTCACGTTCCCTCTCTGTCTTTGCGTCAGAGATTTAGACCGTCACTGTACGAGCAGAAATCAAAAGGAAAAGTCGGTGACACTTAACGACCACTATCGACTATACATATTGTTGATGGCACTTGACGGAGCCAAGACCGTCCACCACCTAGAATGGTTCTAAGACCTCCGACTATGACAGGGTAACCGGTCAAATATTTACAAGCTTGCTCAGCGTTATACACTCGTCAAGAAAAACTCACCTATCTGGTTCACGTTAGAATCTCTTCTGTTCACGAGGATGTCTTAGGACTGAGCTCTTCAGCCTTCTCGCAATAGATAGCGAGTTGCTCAAACTACGTTTACAACGACCGTTTACAAAGTCAAAATTCCCAAAAGTGGGAGATTAACCGGATTCAACCTGTCCTAGTCGTAAGAAGCATCGCTCCTTGATCATGTTTCTCTCAACTTCTGTACTGCTACTGCAATGTGAGCACCGAGATTAAGTGCAGAAAGGTGAGAAACTCATTCGCGTTGACCGACACTCTATTTTGATCAGTATGAAAATTTTCTGTGTAAAGACAGTGAAGAAGACTGAGCACATTCTTTTGAAAGGAAAATATTGTCTTTCAAAAAGAACGGAAAACGTAAACTTTTCCAGTGTCACACAAAATCTTATGTAAGGAAAATGTCATCACTAATGGGCCACCCAATAGAATGTGAACAGTAAAAGTGTCTTTGAAAGCAAAATCAATTAAAAATTACCGGTCGTGCAGGAGCATTACCATACCGCCACCAAAACCAGTTGCATGAGGTCGAAGACTTCCTTCACAGATGATGATGGCGATTGCAGCATCCACAGCGTTCCCACCTCGAATCAGCGCATCTCTGAAAATTTTTTGCGAATTTTATGAGGAATTAGTCTAATTTTCTCAGAAAGAATTTCTCACAACTCTTTTTGCTTTACTGTGCCAAAGAGGTTGTTAGGGGGGGGGGACTCTTCACTGATTTTGGCTTAGCGTTTCAGCTAGATCGTCGTGCTCAGAGGCTTAAACATGGCTCGTGGTTTAGCTGTTGCACACGCTACCCCGCCAAAAAAGACGTTTTATGAAGAGAGAAGTCGGACATTGTCTAACAACTGTGTTTGCCAACATCAAAGCCTGCTCAAAGGCCTTTGGCAGGCTCAAAAACACCAGCGGAAATTGAATCAATCACATTACAACTGTTCTTGTTAACCATCCACAGGATTTTTTGTTGATGTTTGGACCGCACGTCCAGTTCCGAGCAGTGGAAAGGCGATCAGGGCCGTTGCCTGCACGCCACAGAGATCTTACTCCCATAAGGTCCAGAATTGAGTTCACCCATTTGAGACTGGGTGGCTATCACCCGGACAGCAGAAACCTTCTTTTTCCTCAAGAAACCGCAGAAATCTCCTGTAGTAGAGCTTTGTTCGTTTTCAGTGGGTACTGATGGCAAGATCAAGCCGCTTTTCAGAGTGCAACCCTGACGAGTGCAGTATAGATCTTCACACTCAATGGCGAGCATTACAACCAAATTGCTCCGTATAATTTATACGACTTGGGGTTATGCGGCTGCCTGTGTTTGTGAAAACCGCTTTGACAGCTGACGTTCCAATCAAGATTGAAAAATTGAACATGGAATCGTTCAAAACAAAAAACAACCGAGGATCTTTTATCGCAATAATGATCGAATGGTCGTACGCTCTTTATTATCCTAACACAGGTTGCGACATCATTGTGCAAAACCTATCAGGGTGTTGTAGTTGGCCACTGGTTTAGGGTGGTTGCATTTACCTTCTAGGGACAATTTTGCGATCCTCCCTAGAACTGGCGTATATTATTTTTGATAGTTGGTCGGAGATGCCTATTGCTCCTCCCTTCTCCCCGTTCGACGTCAGATTTGGGATTTGGGAGAAATTCGGTACTCTAGTAGGTATGCTAAAAAGGGGGGTATGTACTGGGGTTTGCTCCGGAGGAGGAAATGGGGGGAGGGAAAGGGGGGAGGCGTACTGACACCGCCATTCCACCCTTCCGATGCTGTGCCCTGCGCTCATCAGGAGATATTTCCAGAGGGACTGGTTGAAACCAATGCGGCGTTTTCGCCGCTTGTCGGTTTCTTCCTTAATTAGCAAGCAAAGCAGCCCGAGGCAGGTTGAGCCCGCCTTCCTAACAGCGCACCCGACTATTGCGATGTTACAATTATATGTTTGAAATAAGTACACTATCGTCAAGTTCCCAACACATCTCAAGAATGATCCATTTCAAAACAATTTTTATCAAGGCCATTTCTAAGTGAATGTTTGTTGGAAGCGAACGTCGGCCAGGTTGTCCATGAAAACTGAAATTAAATACCTCCCAATTTCAGCGCAAAACTCGTTACGGCTCGATACAGCTGCATGAGGAAATGTTCGGGAAGCACTACGTGGCGACTGCTGCCATTCCAGCGAAATCTGAACCAAGTTATGTTTTGACCACCAGTTTTGAACTTATTTTAAGCAAGTTGTAGTAAAGGTTTGTCAGGATAGTAGAGGTCAGACGTACTTTGCCAGTCGCCAACGGCACCGCAGTACTGGTCTGGGCTTCGTACTCGACGTGTTCGGAAGATCTTTCAGTTTCAGGGACATCAATCTGAAACAATGATGATATCCATAACTGTCATAGTTTCCCTATTACTGCAATCACAAGAATGTTGAGTATAGGCACAGCATAGGCATCAGCCAGGATTCGAACTAAGTCCAACCTTTCCCGGCAGCATGCGTACATCTTGTAACACCGGAGCCACCTTACTTTCTGCTATATTCTGACACAACTAGGCACTACTGCTACCGAAAATTGGATAAAAAATCATAAAAACTGTAAGCATAAAGTGAGAAACCAAGGACCAGATATAAGCAGTGATCAGTTGTTAGTTCGCGAAAAGTTAGATTTCATACCTGATAATTGAAAAAGACTGCACTAGGTGTGGCTGTCAGTGTTTCTGTCAAATTTTCAACTGACACATAGTAGAAAAGAATCCCGACGAGAACAAGAATCACCACCAGGCAGGTCGCGACCACCCATGGCAAGCCTCTGAAAACAACCTATTTCGTTAGAGCTTCATTCTGGGTGATGCGATCTCTTTTGTACTTGAAATGGCGAATTTCAAAGATGTTTCTAAAATTATTACACATTTAGAATTCATACATTCATGCTGGGATTCTGCTGGTTTACCTTTTCGTAGGTGGTGAGGTCATCATTCACAGCTCCACGTCTAGTTGCGAGAAAAAGCAAAAGATCACTGACAACATCTGATCGCGAAAAAGATCCGTTGACTTCGTCATTTGACACCCAGCGATTTCTTTGTCATCGTATCAACAAACCAAACAATTTGAGGTTGAAGCAGAAAGTATCAGCACTATAAGTGCATAGTGCAGGAATACGGAGGATCTCCCAAAAAAGACCCTCACGTCGTTGCTTTTAAAGGCATAATAAATTCGTATTCGGTCTAAATGGCAGCAGGGATGCTACTTACTGGCAAAACAGCGAAAAAGAAATGTGGAACGGTCAAAACCTACAAAAAGCCTTTGTTCCACACGACTCAGGAAGCAAGTTCGGCAATTTCGAACGAGTTTCCTGTTGACATCGTGTCAATAACTGGTACGGTAGATACCACTGCATGTATGCACTCATATATCTATGCAGTACCGCAGTCGCTTCATATGATTACCTTCACTTCATACATATTGTACTTCGCAAACGAAGCGATACTGCAGCACTAGCATCGGTCGGACATTTGTGGAAGTACGAGCCGGTATGTTGCAGCCTGATATGGCGTATTGGGGTGCCTTGCTTGAAGAAAGCGCCACGCAGAGCCCATTCATGGGCTCCGAAATCTGTCCTGCTAGGCGTATTAATCCTACACGTGTTGGGATTTGTCGTGCACCTTTCCTTCAATATGACCCGCTCCTTGGCGGCTCGATGTAATTCCTTGGTTTCTTGGTTGGTTTCATAGCCACATTACCTAACCTCGTAAGACTACGAGAAACAGCTGATGTGCTGATTTCCTGTGCAGTCGTTGTTTTCACATATGCTCTAACCGTTCCGATCCACTGCTCCTCTATCGAAGTGAAAAAATATGGAGCTAAGCGGGAACAAGCAAATTATCCCTCTATTGAACGCACTGAACTTCAGGAGGTTCCAGAGGAGATTTCAGGAATGTAATGTTGTATAAAACTTTGCAAGGTAAACTGAGCATTGAGTTCGTCACACAGTTGTAGGCCGATATCCTCATTAAACTTACTTCGCTCTCAATTCCCGAATGTCTTCTGGTGGTCTATACATCGTATTATGACGTAATCGAGATCTGCATCAAAACCCCTCGTTTCGTTTGGATTCGCCGAAATGAGCTTCCCTGAGAGAACTCGCAAAACGCCAAGACGAGGACCTTAGCTGAAGTCGCTCGTTAGGTGGGAACGCTCTGGAAGTAAAAATGAAACGCTGTCTCAGCATCCGTAAATTTAGCATAAAATTAGTGCCCTTTCAAAAACACGTTAGATTGTAGTCCAAGATTAGGAGTGGAACGCAGAAGAATCTCAGAGAACTGGAGAAAAAAGAGAAAAGAATTTTATCATGAAAAAATCGAAGTATTCAAAAGGGAACTCGGCGCCGTTCCGACACATGCAATGCCGGAAGGAAGATTTCGGTGCGAGGGGCGAAAACAACTGGGCGCAGGTGACCCGCAATTTACACCAATGTCCAGCCCCATGTCCTTTGCCCCAAGGTGAAAATCTCTGGCTGATCTAAGCGATGTCCGATCAATTGCACTGATTGCAAGGCTTTGCAAATGCCAGAATCGTATGATAAACTTCTGAGAGCCACTGCTATAGTTTTCCGTGCTGAACCAAAAGGGTTCAATGGGAAGGTTTACTCCGTGGTTACTGATCTATTCACTATGCCATTTACAGAAAACTGTGAAGTCTACTGTTGAACTCTGAATTCTGCTTCTGATAAAGGATCGAGATTCCGCTATTTCCCTTGAGGAAACAAGCTAAGTCGCCGAAAAGCCCCGCACGTAAATGGGGCGGCCGTTGATTGCTAGCTTTCCTAGGACTTTACCAGAGATAATACTTTCCTTTTCTTGTTTTTTCCACGATCAGGAAGTGTGTATCGAATGTCACATTAAATTGGCCCCTGGCTGATATCTCGCCATCTTGACTAGTTGAAAACTGTTTGGAAAGTAGCCCGAACCCTTCCCCCGCTCCCCAATGCACTATTGTTCAAAGGGAAAGGGAGCTTTCAAGTGCACATCACAGGCACATTCCGCCTGATTGTATGAGTGGACTCACATGAACCGTGTGCTCTTCTGCGTTCATCACTTCCATTACAACATTACATGGAGGCCAAACCACTTGTTCTGTTCCCCTCATAAATGTCAAGTGGAGAACAGTCGCAATCGGTCAGGGCGATGTCAGTAGGGGCCACCAGAATGAGTCTGCCTTGCTTACAATGGTCTTCAAACTTTAGTGCGCTGAATGAAAATACTGGCAGTGTGGTGGCTGACCATTGCCAATTATTGCAGGGCCCAATCGCCTTCAAATGCCAGTGCAGTTCTGAATTGAGCAGATTGCTGGCGCATCCCAAATCAAGGCAAACGACTTCCTTCTTGTAGTTTACGGTTTCAGTTTTCCACTTTTCTCAGTTACAACCGGTGATCCCTCCGGCGTGTCGCAGCAATGTCAGGATGTTAACAAAGCCACAGAACTGTTGAGTCGGGCATCTTGTCCCAGTGCTGACCAATACACCAACGAAGTTTCGCTGTCTGCCAGGCTTTAGGCATTGTTCTCAGTGTGTCTCTTTGGGGAATTCGGCGCGTTCGCAAAGGTTCAGGCCTAGGGGATAGGTAAGAGTTAGGGGATATGCATTGATAGGGAGCACCAAGAAGGTAATCGTCTTTTCGCCCGATCGATACATATCTCGTCCTCGCCAAATTTGCTCGCATGTTCCGCTGATTATCGCTAGCGATACGTGTCAGAATCTTTTCGCAAATGCAATTCTTCTTCGCTTTGACAGGAGCGCAGGCTCAATACCTCAAGGGATTCAGCTGATGTAGCCTTCAAGTCTTCACATACTCACTCAACTTCTACTCTGTTGATAATTTCCCATGAAGTCTGGTTTCGTAGGTTACTATGGTGCTGTACAGAAACCCTAGGAACCAGGATCTTAGTTGTATACATCACGAAGCAGCACCCAAAGCCTATTTCGAAAGGAATCAAAGCAGTCAAAAATGATCGGAAGAGAAGACCTGAAGATTTTGCTTGTGTGTGTGCTGTTTTGCTTTCGATGCTCTGCTTCAAGACATTGGACAGCAATTACAGTGGTATAATCTCCGCTCCTCATTGCATTTCGGTTTCTGAGTAATGCAGTGAAAGGTGATGAGGAGGGGTCCTCCCCAGCCTAAAATGCTATTAGGGGGCAATATAGTGGGGAAAATGGCGAAAAAGCGGAGTGAAAGGGTCAAGGAATTTCGGACGAGTTTCCCGTAGGCACGTTGTCAGTAACCGCTATGGTAGGTAGGACTGCACGTATTCACTCATATATCGTTGTAGCATGGCCGCTTCATATCAGTCCCTTCGCTTCATATTTTACTTCGCAAATGAATTAGTACTAGCATCAGGTGCGGTCGTAGATTTGCGGGCGGGCTGGCATAGTGGGCGTCGTGTTGATTTGTTGTCGCTTGATAAGGCATTATAAGGGCACCTTCTTCGAAAAAGGCGCTACGCAGCGCCTGCTCAGGGGCGCGGAATTCCGTCCGACCATGCGTAGTAATCCTACTCGTCTTGAACTTTGACTTAGGATTCCTCTGACACGTTCATGAAACGATTTCACGGAACTACTAAAGGCGGAGCATGAAAGACGTCCAGGGCAATCTCTCCCGTAGGCAGACAGCGGCGCATAACAGAGAGCAGAAGTCAAAAGAAGTTCAATGCACCTCTCACCTCTCTGCCAGAACGTCTACCCTTGCTGCTCTCAAGTTCAGAAGACTTCCTTCCCTACCGGGACATGGAGAATGATCTTCATACAAAGAAGATTATTGGCAGTACTCTGTCGCCTCACTATGGCTGAAGGTCAGAGATTGGGCACCTGTCTACCTGCGAGATAGAACGATACTAATCTCTCCATCATTAACAGCTAGCAGGTACTAAATTCCTGATGGATGTGATACACATTTGGCACTTATTGTTCGATGGAACATTTGTGCGTGGCCGTAGTTGAATATCAATTATGAGACATTCTCTTACATACCATACGCCCTAACAGCCTAATAGAAGGCTGCTCACTTCTTGCTCCGCCTAACGTTGGTCCGCGCTATCGATGGTCATTCGAACATGCTATGGATGCGTATTTTGGGGAAAGATCCGCAAAAATGCATCCAGCCATATTGAAATGAAGATGCTACGACCTCCTCACCCCCAAGCTATAGGGGACTTCTAAGCTGATGAAAAGTGCCACAGATGTTCAACAGCGATTGAAAAATACAAACGTAAGAATCAAAACGACATCAACAACGAAGCAAATAGTATCATATTCGCTGAGATCCATATCAGGGTATAAAAACGGTAGAAACCTTTTCCAATTATTGTAAGGGATCATGTTCTCGGTAAGAAAGATCAGAACCTTCCACAAAACTGCCCTCGTCCGTTCAGTTACACATAATTACTCATCAGCATAGACTATTAAAACCATTTAAGGAATGACATACACATGTAATAACATGTTTCTCTGCTTTTCATCCTCGCTCCTTCCACGCACACTCGCACTCAGGTGGAATAGTTAGAAACATCACCTCAACGTTGTGTTTTCATATTAGAATCTCTTCCTTCACAAGGGTGTTCCAGAATGAGCTGCTTGACCTTCTAGCGATAGAGAGAATGTTGCCCAATCTTCATAGAGGACTACAGGGATTTCGTAGAGAGGAGTTTGGCCCCTAAGTGCTTGTGGAAACATCATAGGCTTCTCTATTCATTTCATTTCATTCCTAACAGAATTTTGTTGGTCCACACAAAGGAGAAAATAACATGTACCTGAACGCTGAAACGCAGTTCTATAAAGGACTCTGATCTTTCTCATCAAGAACAGGATTTCTTACAATGATCGAAAACGTTCCTAATGTTTTCCACACTGTGATCCCAGATCAGTAGCACGTTGATTACTGTTAGGCGTGCCAGGCAAGCGGGTTACACCACCCTACAGATCAGTTCCCCTGCATTTTTAGTCGGAGAGAGTGGTACGCTGCTGCAGCTACGGACTGAATCAATGAGACAAGGGGAGGGCGACAAGGGTGCAAGTTGCTGAAAGCATGGTTCGTCTACAAAGTTTATCTCCTATAGGGTGTCAGCGTACATGGGACACAAAAGGTGAAGTATTTTGGGGATCTTGTTTTATTGGCATCAGTAAGCCCTCGACTGTCACGAGAAGGTGAAGCCAGTCGCCATTGTGGTCGCGCTCAAAAAGGCCTACAGTTCTAGCTTTCGCTAAGGCAGCTGCTTTATTTTTAAAATTGTTCCGGTAGCATGGACTCTCCCAGAGACTTTCGCTCTCACTAGATTTGTTTCAGCCCCAGACAGCTGCACAACCTTCAGAACTGATTCAGTCGAGTATAAGTCCCAACGAGTCGTCTCTTTCACAGCAAAAAATCAGCTGATTAGCTTCTCGTACAATGTCGCTACGACTCACAATTTGCTTTTCTTTGCTAGGTACTACAGGTTGGGTAGATTGTTGAGGGCACTCTGATTCCCGGTTGTATTTTGACGGGCGATCTCTGAAAATACACCCACAGAGCAACCATGAACTCTGATGAACGAGGTCTTTTGCTTTGTTCCAACCAAACGACTTTAGTCGGATATTTATTTATTGGCTATTGCACCTCTTAAATCATGATTTCATAATATCACAATGTTACCATGCCTCTATTGAATTCTAGCGTCATCAAGCTTCGGAATGTAGACTAGAATGATATCACATAACTGTCCTCTCAAAACCACAGCGATGAAGGAGCTGTGATCAAGCTTCTCACTCAGGACACTCAATGACTTGGATGTCCCTTATCTCCGGTTCCTAATCCTGCTTCTTTAGCCATGGCCAAGTGCAAGCTGCCGTCGTCACGTTGAGTCAGGAGATCAACGGCGTGATGCAATATCGGTTCGACGGCTACCCAACACTCCTGAACACAAGGAAGTTGGAGGGAATTCAGTGCTACCGTACCTTCACACTAAGATAAAAGCTATTCGTCTAGTGCTATTAATGAGGGAGATACCTTCACAGCTTTCACACTTCCTGGAAAATTTACAATGAGTGTAGAGTCACGAATGCCAGCAATAGCCCGACTTAATGCTGCCATCGGGGTCGCTTCCAGTGAGTGCCTATGAATTGCGACTTCTAGCCCTGTACAACGACGATCCACCACATTCAGCGTCGCCTGGAAACAGAGAAGCTTAGAGAGGGAGAAAAGTTGCCGTCAAGCATGCAATAATGGAGACAAGCTGTGGCCTGCCCAGCGGCATCCACGCTCTACTACCCCGTCGGAATTCGCCTAAAGTAGTTCATAAACAAAGGTACGAGCAGCACCAAATAACAAATTTTGAAGGGAAGCATGACTCAGAGAAACTGAACGTAGCCTAGTTTCACTAGTGCGACGCCTCTGATACAGATCTAGTGGTCAGTGGTTAGCCCTGATCATTCACAATTATAAAAGCTCTTCGTAACGAGAAGCAGTGTGGAGTGCGACAACGTGCTCTGTCAATGTTACACTTCAGAAAATGGTAAGGTATCGGCAAGTAACGCATAAGGTTGCTTAAATGACTGCGCCTGCGTTGATAGACTTCTTAATTGCGCGGTCCGAAACTGCTGAGCACCTTCCGCTTGCGCAACATTGAAGTGCTTGATAGAAGCGCCACGGCTTGATGACGACGATTTAGCTCCACCCCCGCGAACTAAATCCACCTGCCTCTTTTTTCTGCACTTACTGTTAGCCTTTCTGCACTGAATTCTCATAATTATATGAACTAGTAAAATAGCCAATACACTCATCTACGTAATGACCAGAGCCAATAGCATTCTTTTCGAGTGTTTCTGCGACTATTTTATTGTCTTTTTCTTCACAGTTGTCCCACCACCGCACGGCCTAATGATTTTCAGCTAAATACAACCTGCACGTAGCGTACGCGAGCAGTAATTGCTTACTTCGCGAATAAAGAGCGCTAATTCAAGGTGAGTGAAGAGGTTGCTTTGAAATTGCGCGGTATGCACTCCACTGCCTACGGATTTGGTTATTGGCAGTGAGCCAACGAAAGGACCTCTCTTGTATTCCCCTCCCCTCGGGTGAGGTCCACGCACTCGCGGTTTATTTCAAGAAGACTATATACACAGATGCTCCCTGTCAGGGTTCGTTATTATCATATGAGCTACATACGCACCAGAAAGGAGCATTCTACACATGCATTTGAGTGCTCACGTGGTTTTGAATGAACATCTAGCGTACGCCAGATCGCAAACGGAATGAAGTATCGTACTTTTCGAAGGCATCACAAAAATTAACCAATTCCTCAAACGACCGCTGACGAAGTCATGGGCATGGATGTTTTAGTTAGGTGTAGTGGGATTTCATAAATTACTCCTCCCTAGTGACTAGGAGGTAGCGAGCTATAGTTTTATCTCGCGGGCATATCGGTACGTGGTGTGGGAGATTCAGCCTCGGTCTGACTGGGCGTAGCTGTTTTCGCGGATTTAGGCATCGCAAGGAATCGTTTTTGGCATTAGACCAAAAATGTACACCCCTTTCTGTACGAGTTAGCCCCTATCTATCGTCACCGCAATCCAATTCAAAAATTTTCAATTCCAACACCCTCTTCAAGGCAGTTGGCACGATAATTTGGTGCTCGGCCTAAAATGATAGCAGGACTCTATACCATTTTCACTTTGAATCGGACACTTTCAAACCAATTCAGACACTTTTCAAACCAAAACGGGCACTGTTCAAATAAAAAAGGACATTTCCAAATCAAATCGGACACTCCCTTTACAGTGGGCAGTCGAGAATTGGACCACACTAGGTACTGCTGCAAGCCCCGCCCTAACACCCCCACGCCCACTTCTTAGCGCGGCCTTGGTTTTCCAAATGTTTTATGAATTGTGCTTCTTCAAATTTTTTTCACTTTTGCTACTTGACACACACATTTAACTGAATGGCTTTGCTACCGACACATATGACTCCGCCCATTTCACAGTGAAGTGACGTAAGTTCTGAATTTTTACAATATTTTTCGACGTTGTTCTTTCACATTCAATCTTCACAAAACGAATATAGCTATGCATTTACACACTAGCACACTAAGCCCCGCTCCTCTGACCACGCCCACTTTCGTTTTTCGCGGAATTTTAATTTTTCTTCCGAATATCCACTTTTTTTGGGCTGCGACAAGCGGACAGGCCCACTAATGGGAGCTCCGCCTACTTAGTACAAGCCCCGCCCAATTTCTAAAAATGATGCAGATTGGCGAGCTGGTGACCAGTACTAGCAGGTTATGCCCTCTCCCATTACACAGAATGAAAAAAAGGGAAAGACCAGAAAAAAAAGGAAACTTTGTTCCGAGTGATGGGAGGGGCCATAGCCTGCCAGTACAGTCATTAGCTCGCTAATCTGCAACATATTAGAAATTGGGGCTCCTACAAAATAGGTGGAGCTTCCACTAGTGGGCGAGCCGCTTGTCACAGCCTGAAAAAGTGAAAATTCGGAAAAAAAAATCAAAAATCCCGCGAAAAACAAAAGTGGGCGCGGTTAGGAGGGGGGGGGGGGACTTAGTGTGCTAGTGTGTAAATGCATGGCTATATTCGTTTTGTGAAGATTGAGTGTGAAAAGAACGACGTCGAAAAAAGTTGTAAAATTAAAAACTTACGACAAATTCATTGAGAAGTAGGCGGAGTCAGACCTGTGTCGGTACCAATCCTTCTCAGCTGGAATATGTGTGCAACTAGCAAGAGTGAAAAAAAATTCGAAGAAGCAGAACTCATAAAACATATTGGAAAACCGTGATCGCGCTGAGAAGTGTGCGGGGGTGTTGGGGCGGGGCTTGCAGCAGTGCCTAGTGTGTTCTAGTCTAGGTTGTGTTCTCAACTGCCCATCGTAAGGGGGATGTTCCGATTCGATTTAAAAAGTGTCCGATTTGGTTTGAAAAGTGTCCGATTTGAAGTGAAAATGGTATATGTAGTGGTAAATGGCGAGAAAATGAACTGAAACGATCAAAAACCTGCGAAGAAAAGCCTTCGTAATCAAAAAGCGGCACTATTTACCCTTTACTGCCCCAACCACCCAAAATTGAGCCGGTTTTTTTCTCAGTGAGCAGGTTTGACTCAAATGTTGTCTCCTAGGGTAGTTCGACCTCCTGAATACGAATATCGCATTCGTTCAGTCCCGAAACTGACTGCCGCCCGCGCCACAGGCATTGGTGATTCGGGTTATTTTCGCGCCAGCGCTTGTAGTGCGGGCGTTTTTTGGTTTCGGGCTGAGTGGATGTGATACTCGTGTTCAGGAGGTTCCCAGAGGTCAGACTACCCCTGGGAACAAGTTTTCAGCAAATCTGGTGATTCAGGGCATTTTGGCGCCGGTGCCAGGAGATTTCGTGCCGAGCGGATGTGACATTCGATGTACTCAGGAGGGCAAACTTCCTCAGGTAACAAATTTTTAGCCATTTCTGCCAACACAGAAAAACATTGGTCTGTTTTTGGAAGACTGGCGCAGTAAAGGGTAAATAGTGCTCAAAAAGCAATTTCGGACGTGTTTCCAGTAAGCATATTGTCAGTAACCGCTGTGGTTGAAGCACCGCGGCCGCTTCATACTAATTCCTTCGCTTTATATTTGACTTCGCAAATGAAGCAATACGAGCATCAGGTACGGCCGTCCATTCGCCCATTTTTGGGCGGGCGGACGTGGTGGTATTAGGTTGTCCGGAAAGTTCTCAGCGTTTTGGGTGTTTCATTTTGAACGATCGTAACTTTTTTAATACTCATCGGATTTAATCGAAATAGGCACCATTCGAATCAGCAACTTTTGCCAATGTGACAGCAGTCGAGAAATCCTCATCAAAGAAAAAACTGGGTGGTCGAGAACTCACGAAATCCATGAACGCTTTTTTGCCTGGTCCTGATTGATGAAGTATTTTCCAGCAAGGGAATTCTGAAAATGTTAGAAAAGGTAATAGTCAATTGGCGAAAGGTCCGAAGAATATGGCGGTTGAGGTAGAACTTCAACCCCCAATTCGTTCAATTTATGGATAGTGATTTGTGAAACGTGTGGGCGGGCGTTGTCATGCAAAGGAATCGGACCCTTTCTTTTGATGAGTGTTGGCTGCATCTGACAAAATTTTCGGTACAATTCGCCGATTTCTTCACTTTAGGGTTCTGCTGTGATGGTTTGGCCTGGTGAAAGTTATAGTGGATCACACCAGCCGATGACCACCAAGCCGTGAGCAGAATCTTTTTTTCGGAGGGTTCGGCTTTGAAAATTCCTCGGTGGTTCGTCGAAATCCAACCACTGTCCGGAACGTCTTCTGTTATCATACATGATCCACTTTTCATCACAGGTGACAATTCGGCCCAAAAGCAGGTCGCTTCTGCTGCGCAAAAGCAATGCAGAAGGAACCTCGAGACTTGCCGATTCCTGCCGGTCACTCCGATTGAGGGGGGGGGGGCATCCAATTGTCGAGTTTTTTCACCTTCCCAATGCGTTCCAGATCATCTGCAACAGTGGATTTGCCAAGGCCTAGCTCTTCTGCTATCTCTCGAACTGTTTGGGATGGGTCAGCCTCCAAAATCCCCTAAAATCTTCGTCAGATATTGCTTTGGGTCGACCGCTATGAGGTTCATCTTCGAGGCTGAAATTTCCAAAACGAAATTTGTTGAGCCATTGGCGCACAGTGCTTTCTCTAGCACTATTGGGCCCCCACACCTGGTTAATTTGTTGAGCCGTTTCGATTGCGGATTGCCCCAATTTATAGACGAAGAAAAAAATCGTCCGAAGTGCTCTTTTCACATGCTTGAAAAAAATTCAAAAAAACGGGGTTTATCAAGCAATGGTGAAACGCCAGTTATACATCAGATAGCGCAAGAAATTCTCTACAGGATGTGCTACTGAGAAGCACAGAATGAGTTTTCAATTAGCAGTGAATGTACAAAAAATAGCAACACAAAACGCTGAGAACTTTCCGGACGACCTAATATTTGCAGCTCGATAGGACCCTTATAAGTGTAGCTCCCTTGGAAAAGGCGATACCCAGATCCTGCTTAAAGTCGCGGAATCCGTCATGCCAGGCGTATTGATCCTACTCGTCTTAGGGATTTATCGAT